AGGATTTTTTTATATTATTTTTACCAAGTTTAAAAGTTATTTTACATTTTATTTGACATAAATATAAACATTACATAATAATCAGTAATGAATTTTATTATTTTTCACTTCCTGTGTAATGTATTCTATCAAATAACAACGGTTACCATGACAACGGTTACCATGGCATCATCGCAATGTATTCTATCTCATTCTATCGCCGGCTTAATCCTATATATTTATATGTTTGTCTCTTTTTACTGTCGCATTTTCGTTGCATCGAGTTTCAAATCACAACGATTCTAAAGAAGTTTCACTTCAAAAAATGATTGACAAACAACGGAGGAAAGGATATAGAATTGTTTTGTTTTTCCCAATTTATATATAGAGATTTCTGTTCGAATATACTATGTCGTGCTACACGAATTTGATGTTAAGAAAATCTTCTATCTTTTCATAATATCACTAAGCATTGAGTATTTTACAAACGGACACACAGTCTGTTTTATTTATATATTATTTTTATAACCGCGGCCGAGATTTCCACACTGACAGCTTGGCCACTGCACAATTTTTTTCGTGTGTATCTCCATAAAGTGACAGCTGCGTTAATTATTAATTTCCCTTTGTGTCTTGTTGTTTGAAGTTTTAATATAGCTTTTTTAATTAGTGGTTTTTTTAACTGCTTGTTTGATTTGGATGAAACTCGGCGCACGGATAGATCATGTTCTAGACACACATAGATGATAAATAAATGTGTTTCTTTATGTAAAAGATTTAGTTTTGTGTTATTTTAATTTTTACTACTATCATTAAAATAAAAAATACTTTTTTCAAACGTCACTTCACACGTAGTGTTGTCAAAATACATATTCTTACAGTATGAAGTTATGTATTCAACTTTTTTTTTACGTCCCACTGTTGGGCACGGACCTCCCTTCAATATGAAGGGGAACCAGGCCATAGTCCACCACGCTCGCCAAGGACCTTGGCGGAATTTACTTTTATGGTTTCGAAAATTTGCTAGGTTTCCTCACGACGTTTTTCTTCACTGTTAGACAAGTTGTAATCATGTTGGAAATGAAAATATCAGAGAAGAGATATAAGAGAGAAGCGAAATATCAGAGACCCGGGATTTGAACCCAATTCAATCGGTTTCCCAAGTGACCGAGTTACCACTGACCTACCACTGCCGTTGAAGTTATAATATAACTAATATCCCATGCAAGTATAAATTCGAAAGTTTGGATGGATACTTGTAATTCAATCACGCCAGAACGGCTGAACAGATCTGGATAAAAGCAAAAAAAGCATATAGGTTACTATTAATTCCGGAAAAACGTCCGGTTCCCGTGGGATATATTTGTTTTGGTTTTTCACTAGGGACGAATCCAAGCAATGTGAGGATGAGTTGCTACTTGCTAGTGTTCTATATAAGACAGCAGTAAGATAGTTTTTAGTAAGATTGCTACGATTAATCTTGTGAAACATGAAATACTACTAAGTTATTTCGATTTAAAAATCATTTCTTTTTCAATGGTTCATACTTGTATAATATTTTTTTAGATATACGCGAATATTTGACATTATAAATTATTATTTTTAAATTGTTTTTTAATGGCTTTAAAGCTAAAAGTTAATTATTTTTTCTGAAATGTCAATTAACAATTTCTTTTAAAAAATATATTGAAATATGTCTAACAGTACCTATTACTTAGGTCAGGTAAACGAACTAGTAATAACGAAGTTAAGTCTAAATAAAGTCTGACATAAAAATTGTTGTAAAAAAGTTAATTTGATTTTCTCACTTAACGCCGTCGACTAGCGCTGCCTAATATGATGGAGGTCGTAATATCGATTCTTTCACAGAGTCAATTTCTCAAAAAAAATTTAAAAAGTTAAATCAACTGTGTTTTGTGGCTTAGTAGTATATCTAGAAGCTAGCTTAAATGGATGCACTACAAGAGGTCCTTCGAGTCCCGTGCTTTCTTATGGAAATTGTCGTCCGTACTGTTTTAATAGAGGCAGAAATAAACTATAGTTTAAAAAACTATAAAACACCCTTTAATGATAAACCGAACTAAAAAGTAAAAAATAATTTTTAGTATAAGAATAAAGTGATTATCAAGAAAATTAATGTTATTATGAAAAACATTAATTTTCTCGTTAATCGCTTTATTCGTGGGGGGTTTTGTACAATATTTTTATACTTACTCCACTTTTATAAATCGTAGCAATGTAATATTTATAACAAGTGATATCTAGCACCCCACGTTCTGTTCATCATTCAAGAGTGTTTTTTAGTTTTTTGAACTATAATTTATTTTCAGTTTTTAGTTTGATCTGCTATAAAAGCGTGTTTTTTTTAGTTTTTTTAAATTATTATATATTTGTTGGTCCTTGTTAAATGTCAATTTCAGTTCAATCTGAAGTTTTGAAGTGGGTGAAAATGGCGTTGAAATATTCCGTTACATTGTTAAATTGTTAAACATGAGACTCTCGACGCTATTATACTTGGTTTATATTTTCGAGCGTAATAAGTGTTTTTTTTTACTTTTCACTTCATTTGCTTCAAAATCAGGTTAGTGATACTCTTAATGCCTATATTACTCTAAATACTTCTCGTATTTTAAAAATCTTTTTAAAAAATTTAGAGATTTTATTCCCCTACGGAGAAACAAATTTTACTGAAATATATTTTTGTAATGTACATTTAAAAAAAATTGTTGATCATTTGTAAATTTTAAGATATCAAAAATCTTAGTCTTTCCCATACATAAATTAGCCGTAAAGTATTTTAAACGTAAGGAACTAAAAAGTTATAAAAACCGCGAAAAAACCGACAAAACAGATTTATTTTAAAGGTATATTTTTATGTCAACGATGTCAATATTTTCTGAAATAAATATAAATATTTATTTCACTCATTTTTATTTCACATTTAGGTCACTATAAAACACGAAAATGTGTTTTGTAATAAAAAAAATAATATCTATATAATATATTTCATCTCAGGTTTTTGTAAAATATTACAATTTATGATACAGCACGTAAATTCTAACTTCCGACATGTATTTTTCATATCTGTAGCAGCTATTGATGTAAATATTGCCTAAAGCATTTTTCATATTTTTTATTTACATTTATCTGTTAAATATATTTATCCTGTTGGAAAAAATTAAAAAAAATATTTTTTACGCAATTTTTAAAGTAAACTGTATACAGTTTGTATACTTTCCGAAGATTGTTTATTTTTAACGTCGATATTGAATAAAATATTCGGTAAAATCTGCAGAGTTACAAATGTTGTACTTTTTGAAGATATTGCAATTTTTTTTTCCAGTTAAAAGTACACTTTTTTCTCTTTCTTTCTCTCTTTCATTATATCGTAATAACCTATAAAATTCAATAAATGCTACTGTATTCGTACTGTACGTCATGAGTGTACGTACCACTTGTTAAGAAAATGCTTCAGCTGTCAAAATAACTGGCGAAAAAAACTTAACAATAATTGCATATTTTCATTGTATATCGATGTATAAAAACAAAATTTAGGGTCAGATTATATTATGTAGTTAGTCAATGAGATGGAATCTAGTATACCTACTCGTTTAATATGCATGATAAAAAAGATAAAAACCAATTTCATGCAAAATTTTAAAGAAAGACATACATTTATGTTATACTAGCGGCTCACCCTCGCTTCGCTCGGGTTCGCCCCTAGAAAAGCACACACAGATCTATCCCACGGGAACCGTTCATTTTTCCGGGATGAAAAGTCACTTGTTGTTAGACCGGAAATATAAGGTATCAGCATGCCAAATTTTACTAAATTAAGTGCATAAGTTCAATCAGTAGTTTTTGTGTACTAAGCTGTATAAGTTACTATAGTTTTTTGACTGTCTCACGGGAACTATTTAATTTTCCGGGATAAAAAGTATCTAACATGTTGCCCGGGGATATAAGGTACCACCGTGCAAAATTTCATTAAAATCGGCCCAATAGATTCGGAGATTAGCCCGTACAAACAGACAAACAGACAGAGAAACAAAAAATTTGAAAAAAATCTGGATTTGTTCTATTTGTCTTCTTACATCCCCTGACTCAGTTTTTAGCATTTTTTTGCTATGTACAGACATTCGACCTCTACTGTTTTATTATAGTATTTTATTTATTATTTATTTATTTATTTATGTTTAGTGGTCCACAAAACAAATGACAATCAAATACATATAAAATAAGAATAGCTTGCAAAATTAATGCACAAGATTGCATTTTTCTAGATGCAGACACAGCATGCATATATAACAAAACTTAATATTACAAAAAACAACATTTAAACTACGGTAACAATGAGGAACGGCTTTTATCTACTAACAATAAAGAAAAATCTTAAAAAAAATATATGAATTACAGCTATTAAACTAAACAATTTGCTTTAATTTTTTACGTAAATAGGCTATAGAGGTATTATTAAAAATATCTAATTTAAAACGAATAGTATCATACGCTGAACACATGCGGAATAAGGGCGAGTGGCTTATTACATTAGTTCTCGCGTTGGGAAGACAAAATGTCTTACGATTTTGTAGACGACTACTAGGACGTGGTATACAAAAGTTCAGTCGTTGTAAAAGATCAGGTGAGTCAATATACCCATGAATTAGCTTGTGCAAAAAAATTATATCAAGTATTTTCCTACGTGTAGATAGAGAAATAACTTTGTAATGACTTAGTCTTTGTATATAAGAATTTAATTCATGACATTTGTTGTCTGTGTAGGATACGTGATATAAAAATCTTTTTTGGACACATTCTAATCTATTTACGTGAATTTGATAGGATGGGCTCCATGCTGTACTACAGTATTCCAATAAATTTCGAACTAAGATAGATTATCTAATTAATAATCTATATTTAACTAGTATAGATTATTATAAAGGTTATATATTTTAAATATATTTTATTTACAGATACCGTGGTCCTAAAAGCCCATATGGGGGCAGCAAGATGACGTAGCGATGCCCCGGCGCAGGCGCAGATTGGGCTCGCGCGTGCGCAACTACTTGAGGGGTCTACTAGCGTTCCTCTTCTCCAACGTCGGTGTCATTGTTCTAGTAGTCGCTTATACTATCGCTGGTAAGATTTTCATATAATTATATTCAGCCATAGTCCACCATGCTGGCCAAGTGCGAGAGGACTGAGCATGTCCTTTGAAATTTGCTTTATCAGACATACAAGTTTCATCATGATGAAAAGTGGTAATTATGTTAGGAATAATTCGCACATGAAAATACCAGAGGTGTGAGACCCTGGATTTGAACCTGCTTCACTTGGTATTCCAAGCGAGCGCGTTACCACTGGGCTACCACTGTGGTATAATTACTATACATAATATATCCTAAAAATATATCCTATAATTATACATATATCCTTCGCGTAAAATTGAAAATAAACTAGTTGTTCAATAAACAAAAACTCACCTCCTCTTTTGGGGTATAAATATAGGAGGATATAGGAAAAAATTGAAAAAAAATCAAAATTGTAGAAAATTTAATTTCAAACAACTTTTGTTATACCTATTTTTTGTGAAAATTTGAAAATAAACGAGTTATTCGATTAACAAAAATCAACCCTTAAATTCAAGATGGCGGGTGACGCAAACGGGTCTTTTACCCCGAAAATCTAAATGTTTGCCCCCTTTTTTGAGCTAATTCGACTTTGCTATAGTAACAAGCATACACACATACTGGCATTTAGAATAGAAGTCCAATGAGTCGAAATCAGAAATTACTGTGTTTATTTTCTATATATTTTTAACGAAAGAGGCATCGTTTTTTCTGATTTCTTTATGATATGATTCTATTTATTTATTTATTATATAAAGGCGAATTCGGAAACGGCTCTAACGGTTTCGCTGAAATTTGGTACGTGGGAGTTTTCGGAGGCGAAAAATCGATCTAGATTACCTTATGTCTGGGAAAACGCGTGTTTTCGAGTTTTCATGCGGTTTTCTTTCGCATTATTCTACGCGAAATATGGTCGCTAATTTCGCACGCTCGGACATAAGCATCGTGTTTAAGCGGCCAAGGCGCAAGATTGACACTTACAGGTGTCCGTCCGGGTTCGAATCCCGGTCGGATACAAAGTTTTTACTTTCGTTTGTTTTTGTATTTATTCAAGTTTTTGTAACAATAAAAAACTCCGAGTCACCCAGGTACTGAAGATTTTAAGAAAACAAGCCACTGGTATCATGATATTTGTAAATTAATTCGAAATAAATATGCAATCTGAAAGCTTCTGTAATATTATAAATTGGAATGTATCAGTTTCACCTATAGGTTAATTAATTTGAAAAAGATACGTTGAGCCGTTTTTGACTTATAAGATACTAGCAGAAGCCGCGGCTTCGCGCGAGCTAAAACTAAAAAAAAACTTTAAAAAGGTATGTTTGATACAAACTTTCATCCCCTATTTTACTCCCTTATGAGATAAATTTCAAAACAAAATCTAAAACACATATTTATTTAATTGTATTGAAGAGCATTAATACCAAGTTTCAAGTAATTCTGACTATAAATATATTTTTTGGGATATATTATAACGTGTTTTCTTGTAGGGATGAGATAATCTCCCCGCGCTAAAAAAATTAGCCTATGTCACTCTCCAGCCCTCCAACTATCATCTCACAAAAAAATCACGTTAATCCGTTATTCCGTTTTGACGTGACAGAAGGACAAACAAACAAACACACTTTCACATTTATAATATTAGTATGAATTTTCGGTACTACGGCCACAAAAATAACTTTGTTTTTCATTGAAATACCATAAAGTACAGTTTTATTTTTGAATGTCATACATGATTAAATATGTACTTTATTTTTATTTGAATGTAACAAACTACGTATATGTAAATATAATATAGAATATTTTATGCTAAGGAATTCTCGGTCTGTAATCAGACTCACTTAACCGATTTACACAAAGACATCACAAACAGTTTAAAATAGACCACAACAATCTAGTCTTACTAATCTATACATATAATAAAATTCTGAGTTGAATCTGTACATTAAATATTTTTTGGAAAATCCTATTGAATTATTATCGATACAGAGGCCGGATCTATAGTTTTTAGATTTTTTGCCTGTCTGTCTGTCTGCCTGTCGGTGACCGCATTACGAGAAAACCACTGGACAGATTTTGATGAAATTTGGTATGATGATAGCTGGTTATTTGTGTCAATATCCTGTCCTAAAAAGTATCCTAACTTTTTACTGCAGGAAAATATCTCATCTCTGAGAAATCTATACTAAACGTTAAAACATAACTAGGGACGAACCCGAACTAAACGAGGGTCAGTTGCTAATAAGCAATAACAAAACAAAATTTATGATACCATGACCAAATAAAAGAGCGGCATATAAATTATTCGCATTGAGTTTTAAAAATCAATGAGGTGTAAATTATTTATGAATTTCATTACCAAAGCTCGTGAAAACCGATTACTATCAATTCTATTGTTCCCATGATTCATTATAGCTAATGTTCGAGGGATCAATACACTAGGAAGAAAGGGTTATAATGAGCGTCGAGTTTAATGAAACTGAACAGCCTTTGTTAATGAAGATTGAATTAATATATGAACAGACTTCAAAAGTAATGCTTTTATTTTGTACTAGTGGCTCACCCTCGCTTCGCTCGGGTTCGCCTCTAGAAAAACACTAATAGAAATCTATTAGTTCCCACGGGAACCGTTCATTTTTCCCGGATGAAAAGTAATCTGTTGTTTGACCGGCAATATAAGGTATCAGAATGTTAAATTTTACTAAATTAGGTGCATAAGTTGTATAAGTTATAATAGTTTTTTAACTATCCCACGGGAATCATTTAATTTTCCGGGATAAAAAATATCTAAGACGTTGTCCGGGGATATAAGGTACCACCATGCAAAATTTCATTTAAATCGGTCCAATAGATTCGGAGATTAGTCCGTACAAACAGACAAACAGACAGAGAAACAAAAAAATTGAAAAAAATCTAGATTTGTTCTATTTGTCTTCTTACATCCCCCTGACTCGCGATGGCTTATTATTAGCGTATTTCATGTATAACTTTGGTGTTTCTATACCGATTTCTATGATTCTTTTTATGGAATAGTTAATAATGTTAACTTTTTTAATTAGGGATGACTGAGAGTGTTATAAACGTACGAGTAGACAAATATAAATCAGAAAGCTTCGAACTGCTAAGCTATCGGGAGTTACACGTGTTATTGTGAGTCAACCATAAAAGATAGACATATGCTGTCGTGGGATATTTTTTATATAATTTTAAGGAGAACATTTCCGTCATACCTACATGATTTCTGTGTAGCTTTAACCATTAAGGTTGCACACGCGACGGATGCATAAAAAATGGAGTAACTTCTCCCGTTTTCCCAACATTTCCCTTCACTGCTCTGCTCCTATTGATTGTAGCGTGATGAAAACTATACTTTAACCAGCTCAGGGGTATGAAAAATAATTGTACCAAATTTCGTTAAAATCCTTCGAGTAGTTTTTGTTTCTATAACGGTTATACAGACAGACAGACAGACAGACAGACAGACAAAATTTTACTGATTGCATTTTTGGCATCAGTATCGATCCCTAATCACCCCCTGATAGTTATTTTGGAAATATATTTCATGTACATAATTGACCTCTCTACAGATTTATTATAAGTATAGATGATTTACTAGCAGAACCCGCGGCTTCGCGCGGATTGAAACTACAAAATAATAAATACTTTGGCTTTATGTTATAAGTAATTAATACAGAAATACCCCTTTTGCCATTGATGTACTTTAACCGTTCGTGTTTGAGTATGGTTTTTTATTTTAATGAAAAGTTTAAAATAGAAGTGAAGAAAATTATTATATGTGTATAATTACTGTTCCTCATATAAAATTGTGAGTACCTTTTTGTTCCTTATCCGCTAAAATAAAGCTTGAATTTAATTGTTGAGTTTTCCATCGGCTCTTTTTATTTGTACTGTATTCTGGGCCAGCTTTCTCATATATCAACAACACTGATTTTAATACTTTCTTTACGCAAATATTTGACATCTTACCAATATTATAAATATGTGAGTTTGGATCGATGGATGTTTGTTTGTTACTCAATCACGCCAGAACGGCTGAATGGATCTGGATGTTTGGCGCAGAAATAGATTATAGTCTAGAATAGTAGTTAGGCTATTTTTATTATGAAAAAGGTACGGTTCCCGTAGGATAGATTTGTTCTTATTTTAAAAAAATAGTTTTAAATAAAACCAAACGAAAGGGAACCAATGGAACCAAAAATAATAATAAATCCGCGAATAAATACGAAAAGATATTTAATTTAAAACAATTTTATTCTTATAAAAGTATTTAAGTCGTTATTAAACATATTTTGAGATTAGCTAAGTAACTTGTTTAAAGATACCAATGGGATAAAATCCATGAGTAGTTCCAAATAGTTTAACATAATAATTGAAGGCAAAATCAGATTTTATTTATTCGTACACAAAACAATCAATGTAGCGAATACAAACACTCACCACGGAATCGAATAAACTTGTATGGAAGTATGAATATAAAACAGCTACGAGTAGCAATCTAAAATTTTAATTGACTAGTAGGTCGGCCGCATGACTCAGGCTTTAGTGGATTTGTTATTTTTTACGCCGATTTCCGATATAGTTTATGAATATAAAGTAACCTGATGTGTTTGTTAAAGTTAGAGCCTTTTCTAGAACATAAAAATATGCTGCAATTTCAAAGAGGCGATTGTGTTAATTACGCGATGAATATATACATAATGTAAAAATAATATTTACGTATATGGTCTTGAACTGCCTTGGTAGTGTAGTGGCTAGCATGTACGGTTGTACATTCGGAAATTCTGGGTTCGAGTCCCAGGTCAGCTCAAGTTTAGTCATTGAGTCTTTCTGTCCTGCACCTTAATTCGCGAAGTATCTTTATAACCTATAGGAATTAAAAACTAGCATAGAAATTAAGACTAGCTATGTGAGAGATATCAGAGGTCACTTTTATAAGCCGTAATAAATTCTATATCATTTAAATAAGTTTTAGTCTCTATATTAATAATTAGCATTTTTACGCTGCTCCGCGTGTATAATTTCGTAGAATTACTCTGCTCTCGTAGGTCGTATTGTGATGATAGATAGACCTTCTTCCATAGAAAGGCTATAAAACACAAAAAGAATTTTTCAATTCGAACCAGTAAATCCAGAGATTAGAGTGTTCAAACAAACAAGCTCTTCAGCTTTAGATATAAGTATAGATAGATATATCTCTTAAACTATTTAGGTGTATGTGTGTATAGTTTAATTTAATTAAAACTCAGGCGAAGCCAGGACGAGTCGTTAGTTTTCTATACTATTTAGTACTTGTTCGTTTTCGACGTATTTTAAATAGATCTTCCACGAATTCTGAAGTGTAAACAGCTTGCGTAAATATTATGACAGCGTCTTGAGGGTAGCGTAACTAAAAAAGTTTATACTAACTGTTAATTTTATGTACGTCAATTCTAAGTATCGCATGCTTTCGTTTTTTGGTAATTTTAGATCCAAATTAAAAAAAAAACTGAGTTCTGTGTCAAGTATTACACATACATTACAGCTATACTACTAATTTATATATATACCTAGGATTAAACTACCAAAGGTTTTAAATACTTCTATCCACAACAAAAACGATTAAGTTGGGAATTTTGTTCAATGTATTAATTAGCAAATGGTCATTTATGATTTTAAAAAATGGTTGGGAGACCCGCGATTTGAATCCACGTCAAACTGTTTCTAAAACGAGCGAACAGTAGTTTAAACTAAATTAGAACTGTTAAGAAAAGTTTCCCATGTGATAGTCGAGGGTATCCTCGATCTTCTTTAAATAATCAATGAATGACAAAGAAATCATAGATTATATATTTATCTCAAAAACTTCTTCAAATCCGTATATTTTGTAAGGGGACATAATTTAAAATATATTATGTATAAAGTACACGTGTAGTCTATTATCCATAGTCCTATAAATATAAATGCAAAAATTTAGATGGATGGATGTTTGTTTCTCAATCACGCCAGTACGGCTGAACGGGTCTGGATGCTTGGCACAGAGGTAGATCTAGAATAGCACATAAGTTACTTTTTGTCTCGGAAAATGTACGGTTTCCGTGATATGTCCATACTAACTGTTAAAGCGTACCTAGGGATGAACCCGAGCGAAGCGAGGGTGAGTTGCTAGTTACCTAGATATATGATATGTACCTTGTCCTATAATTTCGCTCTATATTAAGTTACTTCTTTTTGCTTGTTCTAGGTGCATTTATGTTTCAAGCGATAGAAAACACGAGCGAGATAGAGAGAGCCAACAATATGACGAGAGAAAGGGACAACACTGCCGAGTACCTTTGGCAGAATGTCACATTGACATTCAATTTGTTTAACGAGACTGCTCTGAAAAGGAGGTAATTAATATATCTTCGTATCAATTTGTTTTTTTGATTGAATGGGTTTTAACTAGTTTTAGACTCGTAGAGATCACGATCATAGCTCATTATTGCAGGATCTTGTATTATGTAGGAATGAATATATATATATATATACATATATATTTATTATTTTTTGGTTGGTAACGTGGTAAATTTTCTTAATATGAGAAAGAGAGAGAGACAGAGAGAGAAAGAAAGAGAAATAAGGAAGGGAGACCAATAAACGAAATAGTATGTATTCGACCCTTTTAACGTCCCTATGCTGGGCACGGGCCTCCCTTCAGTATAAGGGGATCGTCGTAAACGAAAAAGTACTTTGGGGGTATTCACCCAAAATGAATAGCAAATGGTAGCATACATATTGTAGATTAAGGTAACCTATTCATTAAAAAACCGTAAAAATTACATCACAATTAGCATAGATAGAACATATAAGCAAAAACGTACAACTGAATTAAACTTTTTCGAAGTCGGTCAAAAATGTGGAATAAAAGAGCAATCTTTAGAGTTTAGAGCATATAATGTAAAGCTCGTTAATAATATCCATTTATACATAAGAGTGGTTTTGCATAAGAACACCTACTTACTTTTATCTACTACACCCAGCGTTCTGAAACGGACCAATTATTTTAATCCTTTACCTTTGGGAAGTGTTGAATTTTTGAGCTCATTAGTATAACTTGTCCAAAATATGAGAAATTTAGGCTTCATTCAAACTAATGTGATTTATTTTTTCTATGTCAAATTCAATTTTATTCATTATCCATAGAAGGCAAACGGTCATATTCTATCTATATATCAAAGTTTCATCTCAAACTGTCCAATCGTCCAGCATAAATGAATAACGATTTTTATTATATTGTTGACTAGCGACTTACACTACGTTTAAATTTTTATTAGCGGGATCTTAATCATTTTTCTAAAATAAAAGTAGCCTTAGTTACTCCTTTATAACATTAGCTATCAGCTAGATAAAGTCCCGTCAAAACCAGTCCAGCCCTTTCGGAGATTAATTGGAACGAACTGACAGACTTGTAATTTTTCTTATAAGTACCTATATAATTTCATATGCATTTAGTAAAAAGCTGTTATTTTGACATTAGAAACAGACACTTCAATTTTATTTATCTATATAGTCAACCTGTGTATCAATGTTTCACCTCAAACAATTTTTCATATAGTTTACTAGCATTTCCAGCGGCTTCACCTGCGTTCAGATGACCAAAAAGCAAATTCTTAGGTTTTTCATATTAGTATACTCTTACAATGCAGTTATTGTATTTTTTCTCAGAAATGATATATTTTCCCGCGGTAAAAAGTATCCTATATGTTAACCCGGATGACCAGCTATTATCATACCAAATTTCATCAAAATCCCTCTAGTGGCTTTTCCGTGATGCGGTAAAAGACAGACAGACAAAAATTCTAAAATCTATAGATTCGGCATCTGTATCGATAATAATGTCTATTCAATAAGTATATATATTGTATAAGTAAATATACTTTTTCAAGAGGGTAGAAGTAAGGAGGACCATCTCTGTGTATTAAAGTGTCCGTTGAAAGGGAGCAAATTAAGGTGGCGCTATAGTAGCAAGTGGAAGAATTTTAAAAGGAGCGCCACAAATTATTAGAGTAGGATACTAAATTAAAAAAGGAAAGAAAAATTTCCGCTTTGTTACAGCGCATTTTTTTTAATTATTATAATATACAGACAAACATGAATATGGAATAAAATTGTACAGTATTTTTAAGTATCCCAATTATTTGTAAATAGCAAATAGAAAATAGTATTAAATAATAACCGAAATTAAAAAATAAATAAAATTGTAACAAGCAAATTTTCGACCCAGCACACTTCACTGTGTTTATAACTGCTTAATTCATATCATTTCCATTTCCTACACTAGCGCTATTTCGGTGAGTGTTTGAACAATAATTTGCGGTTTACAAGTGGACACTTCTTCAATTAATCCCCAATACAAGACGGTGTTCCTTACTTCTACCCTCCATAGGAATTAAAAAAAAATGTCAATCCTGAGAGTATCCAAAAGAAACTCAGCGGGACCAACTTAAAGAAAATAATATTATTACATAGATAAGTTACGTGATTATTGACAAGTGGGAATCATTTTAAATGATCTTTTCGACAGTAATATATTTTTTTCGTGGGCATTATATAAGTACATTGGTACGATGGGGTTAGTTTAATTTTATCGTGAGTATTTCTTATCGATGAAGTTTTTTTACATTTACAAGTAGCCTTAGATGAAGTGAAATACTAGAAGGCGTATAAAATAAATATACAAAGCGACCTAAATGAAAATGCCAATTGAAATTCTAGGTTGAAAACTCGAGGCTAAATGGCAAAGAGAAATTTAGACGCGTAGTACTAAGCTTTCCGTACAAAATGCTGGAGAAATAGCCGCAAAGTGTTTTAACGTAAAATACGATTATACATGATATTATAATTATTGTATGATATGCTTGTATTATTATAAATATTCCTAATTATATATACAAAATAAATATACAACTTCAGGCTCAATTTGTAGTGACTCTACTTGCTGTGCTGGGACATTCATTTGTGTGATGAACACGAATGTTTGTACTCCAGTCATGGGTGTTTATATTTATAATATGTATGTATTTAAAGTTATATATGTGTAGTGTATCAAATATCTGGTATCCATAACATAGGCCTCGTAGCATAACATGGAACTAGATAGTGCTGTGTGTTAATGCCCCAACATATTTATTTATTTAATTTGAATATTTTTACGTTTAGGTTAATTTATTTTTTAGTAAGTAACATTATTAACATTTTCAGTATAAGTATAGAACTGCAGCGTTATCAGAACAAGATAGTTCTGGCAGTCCGCCGCGGATGGGACGGAGGGCGCTCTTCTAGACAATGGAGCTTTTCTTCCGCCTTCTTATACTCTCTTACTGTTATTACTACAATAGGTAAGTCACTTTAAAAATCATACATATTTGAATAGTTTTAAAACATTGATATATAAAAACATAGATACACGTTTGGCTCAGTTTTTAGTGACCCTACTTGCTGTGCCAGTGGTCGCAGGTTCGAGTCCCGCTGGGGGCATTCATTTATGTGATGAGCACGAATGTTTGTACTTCAGTCATGGGTGTTTATATTTTTAATATGTATGTATTTAAAGTTATATTTGTGTAGTCTATCAACTATCTAGTATCCATAACACAGGCCTCGTAGCTTACCATGGAACTAGACGGTGCTGTGTTAATGTCCCAACATATTTATTTATTATTTATTTAAAAACATTTCCTAACAAACTTCAAAAAGTGGCGTCGGCATGTGACGTTAAGTCAAACCAAAAAACAAAATCAGAAATCGTAAATTCTAATTATCTAAACACAAAGTCAGACTTACGTACACCACAAAGTACATTTTAAAGCAAAACAACGAGTATTTTAATTTTGTCACCCGAAAAGCGATGAACAAAAGAGATTTTAAAAAAGTGCATGATTTCGAATTGTGCACTTCTTTTTGAGGACACCTTTGAGACGCTAATTGGGTATCCTCAGTACATCAATGTTAAAAATGTTTTTTTTAAATGAAAATAAGTAAACGAAGTAGAAAACCGAATTGAATTTTGTATACTCATTTTAGGTCGTTATAACGGAATTTTAAGTATTAAAACAATATATGTAAAATCAAAAATGTGTATATAATATCTATATATATATATCAATATTAGGGTAACTCAATCTACTGTAACCTGGTAACCGGATCGTAAACCCAATCGTTCACATATTAATACGGCCACCCATAAAAGCGTGTTGGGTAAACATATTATTGCAATAGCTTAATGTTGTCACATTTAACGACCTAGTAAAGAACCTCCCATAAAACATAAAAAAGTTATAAACCCTTATTTATTTATCATATTTATGTATCAAGTAGAAACTAGGGTCTTAGAAGTTGAAGGTACAATATGTAAAAACTATAATATACTTATCTTGAAGAGGTTTACCTCTGCATGAAAATATCATCAGGCGAGACCCGAGATTTGAACCCCTTTTACTTGGTTTCACAAGCGAGTGCCTTACCACTGGACTACCTGTATACACTGCTTCGGCCATGATTTATGGCCCTATACAAAACTATACAAAACGGGAATATTGTTTTTTTTCTATTCTATATATTTGTAGGTTACGGCCATCTGAGTCCTCGCACGAGCTGGGGGAAGATAATGACGATCTTCTATGCTCTTCTCGGAATGCCCCTATTTTTGCTGTACTTAAGTAATGTTGGTGAGTCTATTTGTTTATAAAAAGTTCAGAAGGTGGATTTATAGAGTGCTTGTTGTTATAATATAAAATATATAGTCCACTCGAGAACCAGCCACATACTTTCTCAATTCTTTTTCAATTTTAGTATATTAAAAAAATATTAGGTTATCTCTATTTCGAATTTATTTCAGTTCTGTTGAGTCGTTACAGCATAACAAATTTACTAGTAAGCTTTCACATATAAAATATTAATGTGTAGAGAATGATAAGTTCATACTTATGCTACAATGTCATTTTACCGAATCATCTTCGGGTCTCCATTCTACGTGACATTGGCGAAATAATCTGTGCCCAACTGACACGCTTTGAAGCCAATAACAAGAAAATTAAATTTAATTAAGATAGTGTAATATCTCGAAATTTGCCTCGTTTAAATAAAAAAAAACCATTCCTACGGTGAAATAGTTATTGACAAAATATCATAATAGTATATTTTTTTCAGGTGAGCTTTTAGCGAGCTGGTTTAAGTGTATATACGCGCTAGTATGCCTTTGTAGGGGATGTCCCGGATTTTCGCGGAGACGAGTTCTAAGTCTTCGACCTCAAGTACGTATTGTAATATTTTTACTTACTCCCGTTACTTAAACACCGTTACTTAATAAATTCGTTAATTAAATATAATATTTATTTAAGTAACGTCTTGCACCTAAAATTTTATGTGCAAATCATTTTCAATATTATTACTGGGTACTTTCTAATACGCTTGAGGAAAATATCGCGAGGAAATCTGCAGTTCTGAGAGAACTTAACAAATTTTTAGAACACGAGTGAAATTCGCTACCCGTGTGAGGACAGCGCTTTTGTTAGGAGAGAAGTTTTAGTAGAGAATTATAAAAAAATAAGACTGGGCAAGCGCAATCATGTAGAAATGCTATGTATTCAGCCCTTTTTAAAGTTCTGCCTGAGGACGTGGGCCTCCCTTCAATACAAGGGGGTTTCCACTGACGATGTGTGGGTTGGCGGACTTCACGTCTTTCGAAAACTTGCTAGCTTCTCTCAGACATACACGTTATCTCACGAAACGAAGCACGAAAATGCTTTAATAAAATCGAAGACTAATCTGTGGCACTTTTATTCAATTTTAACGTTTCGCACATGTAGTTGGTACGAGTGAGAGTGGCCGACTACTTTTTTACTGTCTTTAATTAAGAACTTAGAATCGATTTTTATTATTTTTTTTTGAATGATTGGCTCATAATTTAAGGTACTTCAAAAATAAAAAGAAATTGAAATCGTTGTACTTTTTTTAGTAAAAAAAACCATAAATAAATCATCGTAATTCTCGAGCTAAGTCGCTGCTAAAAACTAGCTGAATATAAAATAAGTTCATAATGATATAAAAATTTCGCTCATAGCATTATTTTCTTCTAAAATTTCGATACTCACATCACAATATAACAAATTATATTAGTTAATCTATACATTTTAATTGGAAACGTCGTTTTAAATATAATGTGTGACATGATACTTGCTTCGTAGACATCACAGGTTTGATTCTCGGGATGTTAAAGTTTGCATGTTTATTTGTGTTAACTCGACTGTTCAGACGTAACAGACACACTACATATTATAAAAGAAAGTAATTCCGCCGTGTCAGTCTGTCTGTAACTCCCGTGTATATACATATAAAGGCCCGTGTCTTTTATATACAAATCTTTAAAAATGTGTTTGTTTTTTTTTCCAGTTTGAAATCAGTGAAGCAGAGAGTATAGAAGGGCCTTCCGACTTCGACGTGATGGATTACAGAATACCTCCGCGTCCTCCCGACTACTTTCAAAGGTACTTTCAAAGTCTAATTGCATACACAATGTCATGTGAGGTATGCGATAAGACGCGGGTAAGTTACACCTGACTCTTATACTTACTTTTATATGGCAGTTGGGAAACGGTTTCAGGGTTAGTACTTATTGTTCAAACTTGCCACGATATGGTACTAAAGCGCTTTAACTTCAAAGTCGATCGCCATGACAATTAGTATTTTTCAACCCTTGAATACCAGTATTTCTCTTAAAATCCACGGACTATCGCTTACTTGTTAAAGAGACGTCAACTTGGCTAAGCCATTTGAAACTTTTCATTACAATTCTGTCGGCTTAGAGCGGATGACATTCTACTTAAATCAAAATAAATCCGCGGAAAAATCCGTATAGTAAATATAGTTTTATTTAAAATGTCAAATATATAAAATAAAACACATTGACAGAAGAGAGTACTTGAGAAGCACGCCACCTCGCGTGAGCCGCAGCCCGCCCAGCGACTACACCGTGATCTCCTTCGACTCGCAGGCCATCACCGTGCCCATCAGCGTCTGCGTCTCCTTCATGGTTGGGTGAGACATACATAAATGCAATATACTTAAACATAATAACAATAACAAAAACTCTTTAAAATAACCCACAGAAGTAAGAGAAATTAATACAATATACGTTTTTTTTTATTAATTTAAAGTGTTTTTATATGTTAATCGTTGGCATAAGTAGTTGTCATTAGATTTTTTATTGTCTTTCTTTTGTAATTTTTTGTTCCATTGGATAATACTATTGTTTTTAGATGTTTGCCTCGGTGGTGTAGTGGCTATCATGTACGGCTGCACACCCGGAGGTCCTTGGTTCGAGTCCCGGGTCGGGCCAAGTTTAATTATTGAGTTTTTCTGTATAGTAAGCCTCCTTAACAGCCCGGAGTTGGGAAGTTGGCGGTGTTTCACCTCCGTGCCTCGGAGAGCACGTAAAGCCGTCGGTCCTGCGCCTTAACTCTCACTGGTCGTGTCGAGTGGTCGTCCCACCGGAGTATGAGAGTGACAGGAATAGAGAGTGCACTTGTGTCTGCGCATACACTTGTGCACTATAATATCTCCTGCGCAGTTGGATAGTCTCAATGAGATTGGCCGCCGTAGCCGGCATCGGTTGGGAGAACATCACCATTGTTTTACTATTTGATTGTTTTTATTCGGGTATGGGGTAATGGAAGCAGAATGTATTATTGAAGTTATACTTCTTTTGGGACGTTTAGAAAAAAATATGAGAGTAAAATTTTTTACGATACGCGCGACATGATGAAGTTAGCTTATAACTGTTTGTTGCCATGGTAATTGTCTGGTTAATCTATACATTTAATAAAATTCTAAATGAGTCGAATCTGTGTCTGTCTATCTGTCTGTTACCGCATCACGGAAAAACCACTGGAGGGATTTTGATGAAATTTGGTATCATGATAGCTGGTTATTCTGGTCAACATATAGGATACTTTTTACAGCAGGAAAATATCTTATTTCTGAGAAAAAATACAAAAACTGAAATTTAAGAGTATACTAATATGTAAAACCTAAGAATTTGATTTTTGGTCATCTAAACGCGGGCGGGGCCGCGGGCAATGCTAGTGATATATAATATTACATTCTTCCTTTAAATGATATTCTATGAATATATCATTGTAATTATTTACCTTATTTAATTATTTTATTAATTTATCATTCCTTTTACAAACAGAGAGGTGCCCCAAAGAAGTATAACTTGTTACGCGCGTACATAAGTACACACACGCGTTTTTTTAATGTCATGTTGAACTAGCCTGTTGGTGTGGTCTACAATGTATTTATTTTTATTTTATGGTTTTAAATATATGTCACATTATATGTTGCGTTGGCTTGTCCTATAAATAAATAAATAGATAAATAAATAAACCAAATAAATACGTCTTTATGGATGTCCAATAGTAGTGTGCTCTCTCTAGAGGCCTTTGGCAAAGTGCATAACGATGTTCATCGATTGAATTATTACCATCATGCTATCAAGACCACATACATAATTTACACATACATACAATATTCCCTGCCAGTAGAACTCCAATTTCATTTAATTATTTTAAAGGCTCCCACCAGTGCCACTTAAAAACAATATATGTACGTATTTAATGCACTTAGAATGATATCATTCGATATAATAGCAATTTTGCAATTTGTCTGTCTGTCTGTCTGTGTCCGCATCACGGTAAAACTACTGGAGAGCTTTTGATGAAATTTGGTATGATGATAGCTAGCTATCCGGGTCAACATATAGGATACTTATTACTGCGGGAAAATATCTCATCTCTGAGAAATCTATGCTAAGCTGTTATGTTAAAACGTAAGTAGAGACGAACCCGAGCGGAGCGAGGGTGAGTCGCTAGTATTATATATAAGGACAAATTTCATATAATAAATTAAGCAATTGATTTCATAAAGAAATATTATAACATTTTTAATTTTCAGATATTTAATGTTTGGATCCATGATCTTCGGTTTGTGGGAAAAGTGGGATAAGTTGGATGGCGCTTATTTTTGTTTCATATCACTAAGCAGGTATGTCAACAATTTTATTTTTAAGTTGAATTATTTTTACTGATAACGCTAAAGTTCGTCTAAAGTAAAGTAGCTACTAAACAAAAAAAAACAAATTAGATTGACAAACAAAGAGAAAAAGGTATTAAACAGTTTTGTCTTTGCCTATTTATAGATAGTACCTGGGCCACCGAGCTTCGCTCGGAGGTTTTGGCCAAAAAAAAACATTAAAAAAACAAACTAAAAAATTGAATTAATACAAAAAAAAAACAAAAGTAAAACCTTTGTATCTGACCGGGATACGAACCCAGACACCTGTGGTTGTCAAACTTGCGCCTTGACCACTTGACCACGATGCTTAGCGTGCGAATTAACGACCATATTTTGCGTGGAATAATGCGAAACAAAACCGCATAAAAACTCGAAAACATGCGTTTTCCCAGACATAAAACTAATCTAGATCGGTTTATCGCCCCCGAAACCCTCTGTATACTAAATTTCATGAAAATCTTTGGAGCCGTTTCCGAAATTCAGATATATATATACAAGAATTGCTCGTTTAAATATGTTCGATACTAATGATTTATCTTCGCTTCGCTCGGATCTGTCTCTAGGCGTTTATGTGTTATTCCAGATCATGAATGAACTAAGTCCGTTTACTAAATTCATCCAAATCTGTCAAGCCGTTTCATTGAAAAGAAGTAACAAACATACACTTACGTAAATTTTCTAGTAATTTATAAATGTTGTGAAATTGTTGTGTCATGTATTTTGTTAGGAATGAAAATTGAGATTATATTTATTTTTAGTTCGAGTTATAAGACAATTTGTCAATTTTTTTTATATTATACATAAATCACGGGTCTTTGAATTTGTCATTAGTTTGATGTCCATTACTGAAATAAGAACGATTACAAACAATTATCTTGCTTTTAAATGTACAAGTGCCATTACAGTGATAGGCCAATAATATTTCTATAATATTATACCAATGGTACATAATTTGAAAGTTGGTAAAAATGAATGCATCATTGGTCTAGTATCGGTTTCGGTGACTTCGTGCCGGGCGAGCGCGTGTACACGCCGCGCATCGAGACGAGCTTTATCGTGTGCTCGCTTTATCTCATGCTGGGCATGGCGCTCGTCGCCATGTGCTTCAATCTCATGCAGGTACTGGTTTTTGGGACTTTTTTGTAGTTTTATTACGATGTTTGGTATCCGTTTCGTATGCTTTACAGCATCACAATTTCGGGAGACATTAGTCTCCAGTTATCTGTTTTATTGGTGTAGTGGCCAGCTTGCTTGGCTCTACATCCTGGCTGGCTATATACTCTGAGTTTAGAAACCTGAGTTAGAGTCCTAGGTCGAGCCAAATTCTAAATTAGGGTTTGTCCTAAAAATATAACTAAGCCCGCTTGCCGCTGGCAACTAGCCCTTGGCCAGCGTGGTCGGACCGATTCCTTCGTATTGAAGAGAGGCCATATCGAATAGTAGGATGTCAAAAGGGCTGAATCATTATTAATAATATACATATTATAAAATGTATGTAGTTTGGTTCCTGTGATATTTTCTTCTTCTTCTCTGTCCATTTCTCAAATTACTTGGGGTCGGCAAAAAAATCCGATCGGCCGCCTGCCTGACGTCAACCCTCTTTAGGAATGCTGTTGTTCGCCCGCCATCGAGCAAGGGACTTAAGCTGCGATATCCCTAGATCTTTTAGTTGTCTTCTACGTCACCTACAGGAGGAGATGGGGTAGCCCTATTCTAAGCCAGGTGCTACACGGCTACATATTTATTTCCTGTGATATACGTCACTGAAATAACACACATATTTTTTATATTCTGAACGGTAAAAATATACGCAAAAAATATCGTATTTCATTGGTTTACGAGACACCATTCATATTCAATACAATATTCATGTCACTGACATCTGTCACAAGCTGCTTTACGGATTATAGTTAAGTCACAAAAGAAAAATGGAAAGAAAGCCAATAAGAGCCTCAAAAAAGGACGATATCGGGTAGGAAATTTTCAGTTTGGTTTCCGCATGTATTTTAGTTTTAGTACAGTGATGATGATTATGTTATATGTAGATGAATAAGGCAAAGTTCCTCACTGGTTTAGTAGTTAGATGTTACAGTTGTAAAACATACGGTCGTAAGTTCAACCCCAGTAGCCAAGATTAGGGTTTTATTGTCTATTTGAATTTTAGGTATACAATAATAGTAGTTCGAATACAAATATAGAATAAATAATTTTGACATTGATGTTTCATGTCTGATAATAAATTCTCAGTAGCTTCCGATGCTAAAAAGCTTTTTAAAAGTTTGGCGAAACTCATTTCATTGAATTCTGGTTATAATTAAAGAAAATATCAGAATTTTCGTAATATTATCATGTTAAATTATACTTTATAGCAAAATGGTAATATTATTTTTTAATAAACTGTATAATATTTCAGGAACAAGTAATACACTACTATGAAGGCCTGAAGCGGGCACTTGGACGCATATGTCGCTGTAAGAGATGACTATTATTATATACAAACTATGTTATATCTTAAATAAATTCCAATATTATACTTTAAATGTATTTTATTTCAATACCCTCTTTTATATTCCCTATTTTAGACGAAAGCTCTTGGTATAATTTCGAAGCTTTTTCCTTATTTTTAGCGACTTGAAGTTGCTTTACATTTTGTAAAGGTTATTGAAAGGGGATGGAAAATATTTTTAATTAACTCGAAGCCATACTCTAGTAATTTTTTAACGTCAGTTATCATAGTAAGTGGCCTTTTCTTTATCAATGTTAGTTACCTAATGAATTATTCGTTGTTCTCGGCACTGAGGAGTTATGAGAAGTTAATGTACAGTATTTAATTGATAGCTAGAAGAGAAGTGATTTTTTACATTTTTTATTTTTTTTTCATTATAAGTTTGGACGAAATTATAATATGTATTTGGATGGATAAGACTTATAATGATCATTATATCAAAATTCATTTCTTAAAAGGTCAACACTACCATGGTGCTAAATTATCTATGTTCTTTGTATTTTGTTTCAAATTGGAATTGAACCTGCTCTATCTTATAAATAAAAGATGTTCGCTTCTATAAGCGAAAGCGAAGATGTGACCAGAAAGTAGGGCCTAAATATTGGCTAATAGAGAACGCTTAATGTTAAAGCCGTCTTTTCTTCACTTCTACTACGACAATTTTTATGTGTGTATTTTTGTAACATACATACACTTTCGCATTTATAATATCTTTTTGATAAGGATAGCCTGTATAATTTGATAGTTAATATCTTAAAATTAAAATGAACGGATGGAACGAACAGACGAACGGAACTACATTTATTCCTACGTGTTCGTCGGGAGTTGAGAGCTAATCCTGTGGAGAGAAACTACCAGGTTTTTGCACTCCGCTACTTCGCTGCATTAGGTGCTTAAGAATGCGGACCGCCTTGCCATTTACTTCGTTTAGAGTTCCTCTTTTCATTGAACCTTTTTGATATAATGTCAGTTTTGTGAGAATTTGTGTTTCAGAAGTGAAGCTTACTTTTTTCAGATTAACTTACGAGTAACTTAAAGATACGAGTAACATTACCAAAATAAAGTGATTTTTTGGTAACAATACACGCATATGTAGAGAAGATGAGTTATACATAAAAACTTAAAAAAACGACTTCAAAAAAAAAACACTAAAAGTAAAAAATAACAGATTGGTAGTTTCATTTACTATAGATACCTGATCAAATATTTTTGAAGTCGGTGTACTTTGATTTTGTATCGACTGGCTTAACACGGGATATTTTAATCTGAATATATACTAGTGGCGAAGGGTCCATACAAGACGTCTTACCTTAAAATTATTTTGCTATAATTTTATTTATTTTTTAATTGTATAAATGTTTTTTTTTGAATTTTATTTCTTTCTGAATTAATACCTATATAAAAATTGTATGTTTTTGGACCGACTTACTTCTGCTAAAATTTCACCCTTAGCCACTGATACATAGATATGAAAAAGGTGTTCTGATATCGGTTCATTCTGATAATTCAGATAGTTATGTAAGAAAGATGAATGAGACCAGAATAGTAGTAGGTACCCTCATCGTATATGTATCGTATAATAATTATATATTAAGAATAATAATTTTGTATTAATATATTGTAAATTATTATTATATTTAAAAAGATCAACTGTTGAGTTTCTCGCTGGCTCTTCTCAGTAGAACTGCCCTCTGAACTTGTGGTAGATTCCTTACGGATGCACACATTTACATACTGACATTAATTTAAATTTAAAATATAAAACTGACAATTCTAAATGGCTTGTAAAGTCTATTTGAACTAAGTATATTTTGATTTAATTAATTTAAATTAGACTTAATAATAATAAAGTCGCAGGCATCAAACCAGTTATCCTTCATAAAGTATTCATGTATCATGCGGAACCCTATAAAACACATTTAGTCTTAGCACATTTTTTGTCTTCAGGTGCACTCGGGAACATTAGAGGCAAAGTGGGTTAAAGAAGCGGGAGGAATTACGTGCATTTATTATACAGGGAGTTAGAAAAGTGTAATGTGCACCATTTATACTAACTTGGACAATCTGCACTTGAATTGTGGTGCATTCGTCTTCTGATGTTATTTAAATAGGAATATATGACCACCGTTTTGCACTTTCTAATAAAATAATAATATAATTTGTTATTTTTATTGCCAAAAGTAACTGTAACAACTTAAGTATAAAAAGTATTTGTGGAAGAGAGACAGACCAATAAATAGTCTTTCGCATTTTTTATATAAATATCTAGAAACTTAACCTCGCATTACTCGAATGCATTTTAAGATACGTTTTGTATACAAGTAGCATCTCTTTTTGAAAATGTTTGCTACTAGCAGTATCCTATAATTAACTTTCGTTCATAGTGTACTAAATTCATTCAAATTGGTCTAGCTGCCCCAACCTGAAGAAGTTACAAACATATACAAACTTATACGTGTATAATAGTGTAAGATATCTCAGGAAAACCCAGCAATATGTTTCAAAACTTATATATATTGACTAGATTTAATTAAAAGTTTATTAGAAAACACTTATTCTGAACAATTTCTTATTTCCTTTTTGCAGTTAAAAATCAGGGTTAGCATCCACCTCTGTCCACTCCACGCCAACCAATCCCCTCTTTTATTTTTTGAAGTGAAACTTCTTTAGAATCGTCGTGATTAGAAACTCAATCAAACGGAAGTAACTACTTTTTTTTAAGAAAGAAGACACTAAAAAGAGACAAACACATATATATATATATATATATATATATATATATATATAATATATATATATATATATATATATACATAATATAGATAGAATACATTGCCATGTTGCCAAATATATATACAAATATATATTCTTTCCGTATATGATATTCTATAAATATATGATTGTAATATGCCTTATTTAATTATTGAATTGTCTTAATTTAATTGCGACATTTACCAAAGAAGTTTCAATTCTACCATGAGTGAATTGCACATACACACTTAATATTTTTTTACTTTTTTTTCTTTTTCCTGGTGTTCTCGTAATTTTTAATTGCCTGATTTATAAAGGTATCATAATTTGTGCGTTCGCGTCGTCAGTGTGGCCAGTATGATAAATTAATTACTGTTTTATTATAAATTAAAATAGCCATACCTTACAATAGTAATAGTATAAGGAAAGAATCAGAATTGTGAAATGATAAAGCTAATATCGTTTTAAAAACATTTATGATCAAGATAGAACAAGTTTAAAACGCGGTAATAGAAAAAATCTTATTTTCAAAAACAGAAAGAGAAATGACAGTCTAGTTAAGGAGTAAAAATAAAAATTTAAAGTCAATTATAAGTCCCGTGGAACTTGGCGACAGTTTTAACGAGCGTTAAATTGAATGAGCCGTAACAATAACTGCAGTGTTTGCGTCGGACGGCCGAGATTCATGGCGGTCTGCATCTGACGCTGCGATATATTCATCAAGCCTTATTGAAAACTTGCTTGTGTTGTATAATAAATCTTATGTTCTGCTGAGGCCAAGAGGAAGATAACGATGTAACAAGTGCTTAGAAGCTGTTACCAGTTTTGGTCCGTATATCCAATCGTGTGACAGGCACGGGGATAAAAAGTCATTACGTATGTGATGTTTTCTCAGATATACGTAAATATTTGACACTTTAAATCATCTTTTATATTTTAAAATTTTAAATAAACTATCTGTTTGGATTTTGCCGTACTTTTAATTTTATTTTTTGTTCAAAATGAAATGTCATAAACTTTTGTCTCTTCCGTGACCATATTTACTGGAAAACACTCCAAACAAAAGGTAAAAAAAAAACAATATATATGTTAATACTACTAATAATATTATAAATATAGATGTTTGGATGGATGTTTGTTAATCACGCCAGAACGTCTGAACGGATTTGGATGTTTGGCACAGAGATAGATTATTATAGTCTGGAATAGCACATAGACATACTTTTCAACCGACTTCAAAAAGGAGGAGGTTCTCAATTCGACTGTATTTTTTTTTTTTATTTTTTTTTTATGTTTGTTACCTCAGAACTCCGTCATTTATTAACCGATTTGGACAATTTTTATGTCGTTTAAAAGTGTATACTTCCAGATTGGTCCCATTTAAATTTCAAAAAAAAAATACCACCCTTAAGGGTGGAAAAATAGCTAATAATGCATTTAACCTAATTCTAATTGTCATATTGACTTGAAACTTTGCAAGTGTTTCTATTTCTGTTGATAGTACAGTGGTTCGGTATTGTTGACCTGATCTGATGGTAAGGCCAGAAGGTGGATAGGTGGAACTCTTCAACGGCTAATAGTAGATACTTTGAGTTTGGGCTTATTTTGTTTGATTTGACAAGCCTAACACGTTAGAATTTTTACTTTGCTACTTCTGTCTACACTAAAAAGGGAAAAATAAAAACTTTTTAACAAAAAAATAAAAACCGACTTCAAACAAAAGCACTAAAAAGTAAAAAATAACTGATTGGTAGTTTTCATTTACTATACATACCTAATCAAATATTTTCGAAGTCGGTGTGCTTTGGCTAAATAATTAAAGCCTACCTATTAAATACATACCTAATTAAATATTTTCGAAATCGGTGCCAGCCCATACAAAGTAAAGCACACCGACTTCGAAAATATTTGATTAGGTATGTATAGTAAATGAAAACTACCAATCAGTTATTTTTTACTTTTTAGTGCTTTTGTTTGAAGTCGGTTTTTATTTTTTTGTTAAAAAGTTTTTATTTATAAAATGTACGGTTTCTGTGGGATAGATTTTTTTTGTATTTTCTAGAGATGAACCGATAATTATAACGCTTCCAAATTGCACTAAAACGCTCATACTCAATAATTTATATTATCATACAATTCTTCATTCATTTACGTTCTCAATCTACAAGCTGTCTATAAAAATCACGTTGAAATCGGCTAGCATGAAATAAAAATTACCTTAT